ATGCAGATCTCCTCCAAGGAGAACCCTTAAAGAAAACATCAATCCAGGAGATAGCTTTTACTTAGACTATCCTTATTGGGTGATGTATTTAACCTGTGTTTCCTCCAGTTAGCTTGATAGAAAGCCCTACTTCTTTCTACCCTCTGAGCTATGCAAAATGAGGGAAAAAATCTTCCATCTGTTCTTTATTACCAGAAATTCCCTTAATAGCATATACAGAGTTTATTGTTGCAAAAGTTGAATAACACAAGTAAAATGTGAGTACTAAAGAGTATTGGTAATCAAATTTTCACAATTTATGTTTTCAAAAGAAGGAGAAAGAACATTTAAAAATATTCAAAACAATTTTATATTCTAAGGTGAGTCATAACCTGCCAGATTTGTTTTGGCTTGCCATAGAACTTCATACCTTTCACGAAAATAATTTTAGAAATGTACAATGGACTAGAGGTAGAGTAAACTGTAAGCTACAGATTGGCAGATGCTCCATTCCTTTTACAAATAAAGAATAGTCACCATGATGGAATTGTCTGTGGTTTTTCAAACCTGTGGCTTGGTTTAAAACTTAAAAATACCAGATGATTGTAATCTGGCCAGATGCATTTTGGCCATAAAACTCTTAAATAGGCACTTTAACTATATAAAGTATCTGGCAGTCTCCTTGAGGTTGTCAAAATGTTAGACATGATTAAGCAGCGTTTAATACCAAATGATTTATAATGACAACAACTGTGGGAAGTATTTTCTTTCTGCTAAGTTTATTTCACATCATTATACTATAAGAAGAATTTATGGGATTTGGAAAGAAGCAAAGTCAAGAGACTGAATCAATTAGAACACTTTGGTGTGGAAAGACAACCTCTAATAGATCAGTGGATAGAAATAATAACAATGAAACATTATATCAGAAAAAAATAAAAGCTTGTCTTTAAAATCATGAACTACTGAATACAAAGATACACTGAAATTTTAATGAAGTATATGAACAGCAGTTTAACTTAGTGGATAATATGTTAATGGCATGATTACTTTAATAGGAGAGTCAGGTAGAACATATTGATTACAAAATGGTTTAACAAATGCATGTATAAAAGGGCCATGGATGGCTCTGAAGGGAGGCTAAGGTGTACTAATGTTTGAAGCTGACATCCTAGAGGATCATCATACCCTCTCTTAGGAAGCAGTGAGGAACAGTGGAGAAAACACAGGCTTTGGGGTCAGATTCATAGCTGAGTTTGAAACCTGGCTTTGTTCTTTTCAGGTACATGGCCTTTGCCAGATTGTTTAACTTCTCTGAGGCCCATCTCTCTCATACGTAAAAAGAGAATTATAAAAATTTTCCCCATAGAAGGAATCAAGGAGATTAGGAACTTCTTTTTCTGCAAGGGAGACCCCTATTTCTTTAGCACCCAAAACTCACTGCCTCACCATTTACCTGGGCTGAGCCATGAGGACCAATCTCGTTAGTTATCTTAGCCCCACTGTCCATCACTCTCAGTAGGAAGCCTGGGACTCTTAGGTAATCCCACATGCCCGAATGCTAATCTCCAGCTGGCAAGGAAGGGCAAGGAGGTGTTTCTTATTTCTTCCCTGCTTCAGTTTTCCTTGAAGCATTTATCACCATCTGATACTGTGGCTTAATATTTCAGTAATTTCCAGATTTCTTTATTACATTTCTTCTTTCTAAAATATAACATAAAAAAGCTCCATGGCTGTGGATAATTTTGTCTATTTTGCTCAATGCTGTATAACTAGTACCTATAAACCTGCCTAATACACAGCAGGCACTTAGATAATGCTCATTTTCTTTTATTCTGTCTCCTAGAACATTACTTGAAACTGTTGGTGAGAACACTGAATACAATGATGCATGAGTTAATATAACACACTCTCTCTCCCACCTGCACATAAAAAAAGGGGGGGGGGACCTCTCTAGATACATGTGTGTGTGTGTGTGTGTGTATGTATATATGTGTGTGTGTGTGTATATATATATATATATATATATATATATATATATATATATATATATATATATACAGAGAGAGAGAGAGAGAGAGAGAGAAAGCCCAGTATTATTGCAGAAATAAATCAAGTTAGGAAGTTATGCACAAAACACAGAACTCTGAATGTGAGCTTTCTTCGAAAGTCTCCTTATCTCACTATTTTGCTTGCCATTTAGTTGGAGTGTATTCTGTGCACTGATTACATTTACTTAATCCAGACACTTTAGAAGAATGGAAAGAGCATTCCTCAGTTGATCCCTGGCTCTTCTGCTTAAGAGTACTATGAACTTGCCATGCTCAGCTTATGGGAATGTAAAATTAGTATGCTACAAAAGTTTACTCTGTCAATTTCAAAATTTTCATATTAGACACTTAAAGAGGTATACATTGTAAACCCTAACATGCTAAATAAGTACAACTTATTATTATTATCGGGTTCTAATAGCCTTTGTTTGGCTTCTTTGGTTTTTAAATTGAACAAATATCCACTGCACGTGTAAAAGAATTGAAAGTATGCTGACCTATTTTCTTCCATAAAATTCCCATCAAAGGACAGGTCCACTAATAGCCTGTTCAGGTCACCATAGTGAAATTATGAGTGACACTAAAAAGCAGTGAATCCAAACAAAGTATTATTTTGTAGAATTTCTTACTGAAATGAGTTGGGTTGAATAAGTAGATATTTGACTCAGGAATAAACTATAGAAGAAATATTTGTTAAATGGTTAAATGGGAGATAACTTCACTGGTAATTTTATAAGGCTAAATTTAGAACTGATCACGTATGTTTTAAGAAATTTAGAAGAAGAATGGAGAAGAATATGTATTTTATATAAAATTGCATTATGATTTTGATAACTATGTTTAGTAATTGAAGACCATCACATTCCTCTTTAAAAACAAACCTCATTTAATCTCATTATCTTTCTTATACATCACTTGCTATCAATACAATTATTGTATTGCTGTCAAACACAATTCTGGATGATACTGTAATGGTGAATACAAGACAGCAAACATTTGTCAAAAACTGTAAAACTTTACAGCACAAAAATGGAAGTGTAAATCTGATGGTATGGAAATTAAAAAAGAAATAATTTAGGTAGTCATGAGTTCTCTGGATGGAATTCAGAATGTAACAAAAGAATGTAAGTGTATTACAGTTGTATGAAACCACCTCAGTGAAGGAGGTGGAGGAATAAGATGCTGACCTAAGCATCTTTGCAAATGAATGAAGAGGCAAAAGGAACTGTATGTAAGACTGTAGTCTAGTTGATAAAGTTATTTCTCATGGATGTATTGGTTAACAATTTTAAAACCACTGTAAATCTATACTAGAACTGAATAAGTAAGTAAGTAAATGGATGATGGATTATGGGAACCAAATTTCTTCCTGTTGAGGGTGTACTACAGATAAACAAGGGAAAGAGGCTAGAATAATTTGTGTGGTAATGGATTAGAGTTGGAAACATCAGTATGTATTCATATTTAGCTTAATATGGATACATATGGCTACACATAGAAATATTTACAGACATGTGTATATATACAAGGTAGTATGTACATATGTTTCACTTTGCCTTGTCAGCTGAGAGGACCTGGAAGTAATGGTAATAGAAATGAGTCACCTAGTGTCCAGATCATGGTTTCTAAAACCAATCTCCAATCAAAGGAACCAGGGATCCTTGGAAAAATGGCTGATTCTAGGACTGAGTAAGGAAATGTGTAAGATGAGCTTAGAGCATCATGTAGTGCTAGAAAACAAGAAAAATCTCAAAACAAAACAAAACACAAACCCATAAACATTTTTCCCCAAACCACTTCCCCCCAAAGCTGGATTATACTTGTATTGCTTACTATCAGCTTTTATTTATTTCCATCAGCTTTCAGTTTCTCTTTTTCCTTGTCAGAATTTTTAACAAAGCAAATTGCCACTTGTGATGGTTAATTTTATGTGTCAACTTGACACATGAGGTGCTCAAATTAAGCATCATCTGGGGGTATGTCCATGAGGGTGTTTCTGGGTGAGATTAGCATTTGAACCAGTGGACTCAGTCAAGTGGACTGTCCTTTCTAGTGTGTGCATCTTCAACCCACTGGGGGCCTAAATAGGAAAAAAAAAGAAGGCGGCAGAAGGAATTCATTCCTTTTCTCCTGTCTCACTGCTTGAGCTAACATCTCATCTTACTTTCTGCTCTCAGACATGATTTACACCGTTGGTTCTCAGGCTTTTGGAACCAGACAAATTAAACTACCAGCTTTCCTGTCCTTCAGTTTCAGAGGGCAGATCATAACACTTGTCAGCCTCCATAGTCACGTGAGTCAGTTTCTCATGATAAATCTCCTTCTGTGTATATATATCCCGCTGGTTCTGTTTCTCTAGAGAGCCCCGACTAATACACCACTCAACTAGAAGCTACATTTCCCAGCCTTCATTATGCCTAGAGGTACTCTTGTGACTAAATTCTGGCCAATCAGATGTGACATGGCAGTGATGTTGGCCATTCTGGGCACACATCTAAAAAGAAACTGCTCACTCTTCACTTCCTCTGTCCCCTCCTCCCTCTCCTGTGGCCCAATTTGTGGAAGGGAACCAATGCCTTTTGTGAAAATGAGGAAACACTCTAGAGGATGCCAGACCAACAAAATAAATGAAATCTGGGTGCATGAAAACTGTGCTGAGGGGAGCCATCTGACCCTTCTGGGACATTTGTTGAGAGGAAAACATACTTTCCACTTGTTTAAGCCACTGTTATTTGGTTTCAGTTCAAGAAGGTGAAGGACTACTCTAACTAATAGGGTAATAAGTGCATGTGCCCTGAACGGGCGACCCTGAAATGTGAAAACATACCACATAGACTTTTTATCAGAATTCAAATAAAAGCCCATATTCAAAACCAACAAACAACATCCTGACATCTCCAAATTTCTGATAAAGATACTTATCGCAGGTAAATTAAACTTCAGCTCAGTTGAAGTTTCTTTTTCACTCACCTCCAAAGTAAGAGCCATCTGTCAGCTTCATTTCTTTACTGGATTTTGTGATGACACCAGCAACACCATGTTGAATGAAATACATTTTTTTACCCACCGCTCCTTCTCGTATGATATAATCTCCAGGTTGAAACACCTCAAATCTCAACTTGCTCAGCATGGCAGTCACAAAATTAGGATCCGCATTAGCAAAAAGAGGCATTGTAGCCACTAGTTTCCGACAGTTGAAGTTGACTATCTCCTAAAGATGGCAAGAATAAACAAATATTAAAAGAGATATTCATCATTTCAGGAAGAAAATCATATGTTAAAGTTAAAATTCTATATATAGCATACATTGCAATTTAAATTAAGAATTAAAAATACATAAGCTCTAATAATCTTCATATCTTTTCGAAACCAGGGATTATGCTTTATTTTTGTTGACGTATTCCCAGCACGGAGAGCAGTATAGGCACATATCAAACATTCAATAAATGTGAATTAAATATATACCAGTTTACCTTTTATAACTTTCCATTTCTTTATTATTCTTTATATAGAATTAGAACAAAATTGTGGAAGAGTTTTAGCCTCCCTTTGATCTGCTTTTATGAAGAAGGGAAGCCGTAACACTTCCTATTAGCCATGACATTACTGCTTTGATGGTCACAACTGAAAAATCTAACTTGCACCTACTGACTGGAGTTCTGAAACAAGAGCCCAGCTGCCAACAAAATGCCAGCAGCATTTTGACATTTTTTTCTTAATGTTGCTCCCATTAAAGCAAGGAGACGTAGTGTCGCATTACACATTGCACAAAGGAGACTAGACATAATCTATAATTATACATTCAGTCTGTTTCTGGGCTAGATCAGAAAATCCCTCCTTAAAAAACCTCCTGGGCTTTCATGGGAAGTCTTGGACTGGACAGAAGCCATATTTTCCTTTTCCTGAATTGTTCATTTTATTTCTGGGATCAGGACAACTCTAAATTAAGAGATTTATATGTTTGACTTCATTCTGTGGATTCTAGTCCAGATTAGACATAGGGTTGTCATTATGAACCAAAATAGGGGTGTGGGGCCAGTCATTTTTAATCCTGCAAATTAGATACGGAACAGAATAAACAACAGGAATCTAAATTTTACCACAATGCCGTTTCTCAGAAATATCTTCTCCAGTGAGCCCCCAAAGAACAAGGTTGAACCTGAGTTTGTAACTTGTTTAAGAGACACAGAAAATGAAGTCACCTCTGCTAAGGGGTGGGAAAAGGGCAAAAAGATTCGGGAGTATTGAAAGAAGTTTGAGGTCTGAATTCTTGCTCTGGGAATACAAAATTCCAGTTTGTAAGACTGGGAAACAAAGTTTCCCCAGTCTTACTTCATAAAATCACCCAATATTATCTCAGGATAGTTAACAAAATTTCAGCTGATGCAGAGGGCACAAAATTTTGCGTCCACCATGGAAAAGAAGGTGTTTCATCTTCAACAATATGTTGTGATTTCAGCAGAGCAGAGAAATATCTCTAATAGCAGGTTTCATGGAGGATGGTAGAATATTTAAAAATCAGCAATAATAACTAGAAAGTAAAGACAAGAGAAGGATGTTACATGTGGTACTTGGTGCAGCACCATCCAGGCCCCACAGTACACAGCAGACTCCACGCGTGGCTGTACCTTACATGATCTGTGCTTAGTATTAACTGGTGCTGAAGAGCCGTGGTAGGAGTAGACCAGGGCTACAATAAGTTCAGCACATAGTAAGTACTCAATAAACATGCCTGCAGGTCTGAATGAACAGAAGGCAGAGAAAAGGAAGAATGTGGGGAAGAAGGAAGATGGAGTCTGGCAGTGGAAAAAAAGTGCTCACAAAGCCTAATTTTTATTCTTGTCGGGAAGTGACTACTGAAAACTCTTAGAATGCTTTCTCAAGCAAATAGCTTGGGAAACAAGTCTTATGTCTATAAAATGTGCTTTTTTTTTACTCTTCAATATACTTCTATACAAACACCACAGGAAGATAAAAGGTGAACCATTCGAGGTACTCAAGGTAACTACGTGAGTTAAAAGAAGACAGAGATACGTCCATTAAAATGACCAAACTGGTTCTTAAAGAGTTAATAACTTCACATGTAAAATGACGTAGAAGGACAGTAGTGTAGGAAACTGAAAATAAGTCAGGTTGCAGAGAAAATAAATGCCAAACAAAAATAATAAAGCAAAGAGAATCTTTTCATCTATGTTTTTTGTTTCAACTATACAGATTTTTTCTCTTCATTGTTTTCTCACCTTTTATTTTAGAAAATACTTGAAAGTCTATTTTATAAACAAGTAAATGGGTCTTTGTTAATATAAACAACTCTTTTTCCATGATACATCACATATTCAGGTGCACCATTGGAACTGCCTTGATTATATCACTGCGAAGATGATTTCACATTATTGTTACTGCTTGAAGGAATCCATTCATTTTTCTCTGTCTCTGTAGAACTTTTATCTCTATGTGAATACTTTCTGATTTAAACTGTAAATTCTAACAAATATTTGACAGAAATAAGATGTCTTGAGACAGAAACTTATTTGCATTTAAAAGCCCTTCGTCTTCCAGTGAAATTTGTTTGCTTTGAGGGTATGTAGTTTAATAGAAACAATGAAGTGAGTCTAAAAGTTAAGCAAAACTTTTAAAGGCTCTTCCCCATCAATCACATTTTTATAGCACAGTTTTGCAGAGGGAACATATTTAGTTATGTTATTAATATCTCTCTATTAGTAAAACAAGACTTTTAAAGCTCTTCCATCAATCACAGGTCCTTATAGCACATTGTATTACATAAAACACACAGTAAAGCTATGAATATCTCTAATCTCCAACCAGATTCTTTATGGCGGTTGTTATGAGGTGTTTTTTTTTAGCAACATGTTTGACCTGAGTTAGGAATATTGTCTATGTGCATTAAATTGAGGAATGCTCGCTCCCTAAGGGAATCAGATATGTGGTCCTGACCTTAATAATAATGGCTCCAAACTACTAAGCTTACTTCATAACTTAAAAAAATACAATTATTTCTTTCCTAGAGCATCTTATCCTACCAGAAAGTATGGTCATGCTAGAAAACAAACAAAGTAACAAGCAAAAACATCAACAAAAAAAATGAAAAGAATATTTCAGGATGAAAAGAATATTTCAAAGAGGCCAATTGAAAGAGCTACCAAACAAGGGTGTAACAATTTGAGTAATAAAATAAATAGTGTAACATTGGCTTAATTAATGCCAAAATATAAAATAACTATGAGGCTGTACTTATATAAATAAATGATTGAGTAAATTACAAAAAGTGAGAGAAAACAGACAACTCTATTCAAATTCCAAATAAATCAACTTTTTTCTATTAAAAACAGCATGATGCAAAAATCAAACAAGAACAATGAAGAGCCCTGCATTTGATCTTAACTTTGACATAATGTCAGTTTATTTAAAGTATGAAAGTCTTTCTTTTTCAGCAGTCCTTCCCATTATTTTGCTAAAGTGCAACAGAATTATTCATGTTCATTTTTGGGTCACAGTGTAGAGTTTTTTTTTTTTTTTAACCTGTAACACAGATATAGAAAAGCACACAAATCATAAGTGTTCACAAATCTTATATGAGATTTTCAAACACGTGAAACTATATAACCACCCAGGTCCACATATGGAACATTTCCCAGGAGGCTTCATTTTTTTCCTTTCCAGCCAACCCCAGAGGCTCTGGCTGTGCTGATCACCATCACTACAAGCGGTCTTACTTGTCCTTGAAATTCCCATAAATGGCATCGTGCAACGTGGAGTCTTTGGTGTCTTGTTTCTTTCACTCATTACGTCAGCATGATTCATCCATGTTGCCGTGTGGTGGCAGTTCTTTCTTTTTATGTTTCCGGCTGTATTTCATTTTATGACTATGCCCCAGTTTATTTCTTCATTCTACTCTTCATGACATTTGGGTTGTTTCTAGTTTTAGGCTAATAAAATAAACCTGTCATAACCATTCTTGAAGTGCCTTATACACTGATTTCTCTTGAATATTTGCCTTATGTTGGAATTGCTGGGTAATAGGATAAGTGTATATTTAACTTTGGTAGACATTGTCAAAGGTTTTCTAAAATGATAGCATTATTTTCTCATATACCAGCAATATATAAAGTTCCAGTTGTCTTACACCGTTGGCAAAATTTGATGTTATCATTCTTTTTAATTTTAGCCATTAGTAGGTATGTAGAGATATCTTATTTAAAATTCTTTTTCATTGTGGTTTTGTTTTACATTCCCCAATGATTAACATTGTTATGTACATATTCATAGGCTTATTGGTCAGATGAAGATCCTGGTTGGTGAAATGTCCAGGCAATAGTTTTCCCTGTTTTTTTCTATTGTAGGAGTTCTTTCTATGGTCTTGACAGGAGCTCTTTGCTGAGATACGCATTGCAAGTATCTTCTCGCCATGTATGACTTGCCTTTTCAGTGGCTCTCTGTGGTATCTTTCATTGTTATTGTTTTGTTGGTAATTTGATTCCTAGTTTGTTTAACTTTACGACAATAAGAAAAAATGGGATTTGATATATTTAGATTGCTTCAAGAAGGATTCGTTTTAACCATGAATCTGTGCTTTGGAATCGTGCATACATTGAGACCCTGGGAACTTTTAAGCAATATCTTGTTTGTTATTACAACGCGCAGCAATGTTTTAAGGCTCCTCCTAGCACTACAATTCTTTATCAATAACTCAAGTATCACTGTGGAAATTTCCATTTTGTGAAACATTCAGCTCTCCATTCTCCATGATTTTATTCTACACAGTATAGTTCTAAAAAGTTTTAAGAATGGTAGCTATAAATATAATTACCATCATTACAATAATGAATCATAGAGTAATCTTAACAAAACAGAGCTGCTGTTCCATTGCTAAATCCCTACACCCAACACACCCTGTATTTTTAGACTGTGCAGAGCACACAAGAGCTTTCTTCTAAGAACTTACATCAGACAGACATTCGGATGGCATCCAGATGTGCAGGCTTCTATGTATTAACTTGAGAAACAAGGAAATACATACAGTCAAATCTGTATCAAATGACACTCTGTCACCTAGAATACCCTATAAAACAGTGCTGCTGACGTCCTATTTTTTTTTCCAATTCAGTAGCCAGGGGTAGTTAGAATCAAAACAGAGTAATCGGATGTGTTAGGGATTTCCGTAAGGCCGATAATTTTAAGAAAGAACACGGT